AAATTTCATATTTTCGCAATTTTATCCTTAAATTTTATTTTATTAATATAATTATTTTTAATATTTATAAAATAATTATCATTAATCTTTTTAAGTCTCATATATATTAAGTTCAAAATAGAATACTCACATAACAATTAAGGAGTCTTTAAGGCTAATCTCTTAAATATAAAAATTACCTTTTAATCTTTAACATTTTTAGCCAAAAAAATAGATAAGAAAATCTCTTCAACTTTTAACATTTCTCCGCCTTCTTCTTCTTCTACACTATTTCTAGAAAAACTTTAGATTATCATCTTTATAGTGCCTAAAATTAGTTTAAAATATTCATTTTAGTCACTAACATCTATTTTCTTTCTAAGTTAAATATTAAAACTTTATTTCTAACTCATATTTTTTTTTTCTTGAGTTAAATCTATTTATTTTATTTTGGCATTTATTATACCAATTTGTTATATGTTTCGAAATTTTTTACATTTTGTTTAGATGTGTTTTATTCCATGCTTCTTCTTTTTTTCTCACAAATATAACTAAATAATTATTCACTAATTAATTACAAAAAATTCCAAAGTACAATACATTTCACATTGAGCTAGCCAAGTTAATTGTTTTAAGACATAAGTTTACAACTTTACAATCACTACTAGAATTCACATCATCACCGAGAAGAAGCCATGTCGGAAAACAAAAGGGAGCTTGTTGGTAAAAAACATTTTCAACAAGAATCATGTCGGTGATAGTCGCGTTGGTGTAAGCTTGCTCGGTAATTAATTCACCGACATGATTTAAACTCACGTCGGTAACTTCCTTCAAATTATCGACAAAAAGCATGTCTTTAATTGACTACCGGAACCGTACTGTCGAAACTCATTTTAAGTCAGTCACATCAGTAAATTACCGACGAAATATATCTCTATAAATATTCACTGACAAAAGTACAACTGAGACCTAGACATTCATTTACCAACGAGAACTTTATTTGAAACTTAAATTAGTAATTTGCAAAATAATTAATAATTTACGTCTAAAATTATCACTAAAGAAACTGTGGTCTAAACCAAATTTTAATTTACTGACAAAACTTAATTGGAAAACTGGGTTACCAATTTGTAAAAGAAATTTATATTATTTCTGTTAAATGCTATGTTTACACAATGAACCCATACACCTCTCTACACACAAGCAGTTCAATGAAAAAAATAAACGTAAAATGGAGACAAGGCTTATTCTATGCTTGTCCGAAAGAAATCTATTGGTTAGATCCGGCATATAGTGACATAGAAGGAAATGCTCCTCCAGTGAACCAAAGGCTCTTCTTCGCCTTCATTCTAGTCGAATGCAAGTCTTGAAGGTCACCATGGCAAAAATCAACCCAATTGAGTGAACCCAAGCTCCATTGATGACCGATTATGTCCACCTCCATTCGGCACCCATCAAAGAAGTGTGTCGATGACCCTTTAAAGAGCTTGCACTCGATTTGCCCACCCCTATCAATTGAGGATGTTGCCTATCTACCACAATCATAGTTTTTGGGAGTCCAATTGAGTGAACCCAAGCCCCACCGACAGCATCCTGGAATTTCAGAGACATATAAGTGAGCAACATTTTAATGGAAAGAAGGAGAGACATATAAGGGAGCAGAAGAAAGAAGAAGAAGAAGACGAAAACAAAATGAGAAGGTTGGGCAGTTCTGGGAATATATAGAGCCTCTTACCTATGTGTACTTTGTCAGTATTCATTTTACCGACGTAAGACACATAGGTTCTATAAAATTTCACGTGGGAGCAAAAATATCTGAAAATTTTGTGTTCTCGCTTTATTTTTCACCAACAAGGTGATTGTTGGAAGCTAAGAACCAAAAATTTTGAGAGTCCTGCCATCATTTGCCGGCAAATGCATGGTGGGAAGTTGAAAGATGAATTTTTTACTGCCATCAAGTAATTATTATAATATTAAAATTTCACACTAGAATTTTAACAAAAAAAATTACT